TCTTATTTTGGCCTCTACTATCGCTCATTAAAATTTTTGCTAGAGGTGGCCGAACACCCTGTATATATCTACGTCCTTTCTTCGTCCGAGGATTTCAACGGCCCATCGATGCGCGAGCAGTATAAACAAAACACTATCCCCACGTGCTCGAGCCACTGCTGTTTCTCTTGAGTCAGTTGAATTCGGTCGACGAGGACGAACATCAGGAGAAATTTAAAGGTACGTGCCGTAGGTCATTCTGAGACATTTAAATTGAAAAAAAGCTTTCGCGTAGGTATTCTGTAATTTTCTGTTCTTTCGCTTTTCTGCTCTTATATCATGGAAACGGATGTGAAATCGAAGAATAAGTGTAAGCGCGGTTTTTTATCTTCATGGATAAATGATCATAGATTTAAATCATGGATACGTGCAGTACCCCATGATCGAAGTCGTTTTTATTGTACTTTATGCAATAAGTCTTATTCTTGCGGTTCCTCAAACGTGTATAGACACGGAGAATCTGGGTGTCATAAAAAAAATAGTACTTCTAAAAGGACTTTTATGCCTCAATGGCTTGAGAATGATTATTTCAAGCCATGGTTGCATAAAGTCGACGGCGACCCTTATTCATGGTTCTGTTCGGTTTGCAACAAACAATTTTCATGTCGATTATCGACGATTTATAATCATGCAGATTCTCAGTGTCACATTGAGAATTATAAAAAGAGTAACGATAACGCAGACAATTTGAATAATAATTTTACGACGCAATCCGAAGAATCGCCTCTGTCGTTGGATGAAAGGATAAAATCCGCGGAAATCAAATTTGCCAAATTAATAGCCGAAAAAAATATTCCGTATCGAACCGCAGAGACGATTCTTTAAGTTTTCAAAGACATTGGGCAAGATCCTGATGTCTTGAAACATATGTCATTCGGTCGAACAAAGTGTTCAAATATTATATCAAACGTTTTGTATCCTTTAGAAACAAAACGTATTTCTAGTGTTTTACAAAACACTAAATTTTCTATTTATATTGACGAAACATCCGACTCGACCAACGAGAAATGGATGACGTTTCTTGTTCGTTATGTTGCACCCGAGACTTTGGATGTTCGAACGGAATTGGTAGAATTATTACATCTTGATGCCAGAAATTGTGGCGCAGATAATTTATTTAAAACATTTGAAATTGCCATGATAGAAAGAGAAATTCCGTTCGAAAATATTGTCGCGTTGTCATGTGACAACGCTGCTGCTGTCATGACAGGGCGACACTCGTCCTTTATGACAAAGCTTGCAACAAAATGCAGGGACAAATTTTTGACTGTCCGCTGTCCGTGTCATCTGTCTGCAATAGTAGTGCGCGAAGCGTGCAATACCATTCCAGACATATGCGAGGAGTTGTTACGAAAAGTAGCAACTTCATATACAGTAGTCCCAAACGTTCGGCTATATTCCGCGAATTTCAGCAATGTTTTCAAACAACCGACAGAAAAATTTTAAAATTGTGTTCTACGCGATGGTTATCGCATTATACATCCGTAGTTACACTTTTAGAGAATTGGGACTCTGTATTGCTTTTTTTGCAAGAATTGACAATAAGCGAGAAATCAGAATCCGGGGAACGTCTGTTAATCTCGATGCAAAATCCAGAGGCCAAAGCATATCTTTATTTTCTAAATTACGCTCTTGAGTTTTTTTATAGCATTTTCTTTCAAACTCAAGAGACAAGAATTCATTTGCTTCAAAAGACTGCGGCAGAACTTCTATGCGATATATTACGCAATTTTCTGAAACCGCAGCTTTTGAAACACATGGATTTAGTAAGAATGATGAATTTTTCTGTAGTCGAAAATCAACTCCCATTTAATAGTATAAATTTAGGAACAGAGTGTCTTAATTTTCTGCATCAACTGAATGCAGAAGGCAAGTCCAACATCGTAGAAACCGTAAGGAAAAATTGTTTAATGTTTTATATTACAGCTGCAAATGAAATTCGTCATCGATTGGCAATCGATGACGAATTTCTTAGCAAGTTGTATGTTTTTGAACCCACTTTTATATTAAATGATACAAATAGAGACATTTCCTTCAGAAATGTTCTCTTAATCGCTAAGAAATTCGGCGGTTTCGACGAAGAAGGACTGCAAACAGAATGGTCAGTATTGCTTTTGGAATTTACAACGAAAGGTAGACAGACGCTTATCGAGATGAAATTCGATGGTTTCTGGAAAACAATTTTATTAACGCGAAATTTGGGCTATAAAATTAAATTTCCTGAATTGATGAAATTAGTAAATACAATTAGATCACTTCCAAAATCCAATGCCGATGCAGAAAGATTGTTTTCCATGTTACCTGACATAAAAACAAAGAAACGGAATAAACTTTCTTCGGCCAGCGTCAACTCTATTTGCGTTGTGAAATCTTCGTTAAAGGCGCAGAGGGAAAACTCTCAACCCATGGAGGTAGATGACGATCATCTAGCTCTATTGTATTCCAAAAATTTATATCATAGATTTGCTAAGAAGCAAAAGTGTAATTTAAGATTAAACGCAACATATGACAATAACTTTGAGAATTTTCCCGCTACGTCATATGACGAAAATTAAGGTACCGATTTACTACAAAGCTTTTCTCTAGAGAGATTTTTCTCTCCAGAGAAAAGCTCTTTAGTAAATTCGTACTATTAGGCTGCAATGATAGTATAAACGTTTTCATGCGACGTCGCGGTAGACTGGTCTTGTTACGTCAACGGTACCGCGACGTAGGCGCAACAAGGTGTGATGCATGTACATATGTGCCATAACGTCACGCGAAAGCGCTTACACTGCAACCGCAGTCTTGTTAGTGATGTCCAAAATATTTTTTTTTGGACATCGCTAATATGTAAATAGCCGTTCAATTTGTCTCGCGTTGTTACTTTTTTTACGTATTTCGCTTGCTGTAAATACTATTCTGCTTGCTCTAACTATCATTTTTTTTCTTCATTTATTTGCTTATATTTTGCCGTATATTTTTAGTTAGTGAAATTGCTTGCTGTAGATAGTGTGGCTATGACATAGAATGTCGCGCCTTGTTACACTTACGTCACAGTACCGTAAGAGCAACAATGCACGACATAACGTGCCAGCTTAATCGCAAACGTCCTATCCCGACATCCCATCCTTTGGAAATGTAAACAATTATATAATTTTTCCATTTTTATGGCTCGTGTGTATATTAATAAAAATTAATGCATTCACGAGTTAATTTTTCATTATATTGTAATTTCATTACATTAATAAAAACATTTTAATATACGGCATGTGATAATGTTACAAAGAAATAACAATTTTTTACATTTCCTTCCTGATGGAAGTGACCACCACCTTCCCGTGGTTTCCATTGAACGGTAGCGTGCACGTTATTGTTTTACCTATCGTTACAATTATTTTGTTATGTAAAGTTAAGTCAAATATATAACATTTGATTGTGTGTAACAATTTGATACGGTTATTAAAAAACATAGTGGGAAAAGTCAGTAGTAATCTATTTCTGTAGCGTGCACGGTACTGGCTAAGAGTGGTTTTTCATTTTAATTAACCCTTAATTAACCCTTTACGAGTAAGACTGCTTTGAACAACATTATTCTAAAATATTTGTGGAATACGTTTTTAATGTGGTTTAGGTAGGTATGCAATGCATAAGATTTCGTTTAATTTTTCCTTTCTAGAAAAGATAGGAGAAAAGTATATTTGATCTTAATCCTTCTTAAGATTTATATAAATCGCTTTAAAAATTTGTTACAAATGATGTATATGTATCGAAATAATTATAAAACTAAAAACGTATAATCATCATTATATGGGAGCTGATCACGCTCAAAATCTAATGAGACCTTGAAACGAGAACATAAAACTTAAATGTTAAGTTTCATTGAAATTCGTTCAGCCGTTTAGATGCAATCATGTCAATAGCATAGGAACAAAAAAAAAATATGTTTTTTTGTAGTAGTCACAATATGATGAGGGGGTCCTAAAACGTGTATTTCCGCTAAAAAAAAATTTCGAAATTTTTTTTCCATTATGATACTTTATAAATTTCCTTATACCTTACATAGGTCGGAAAGTAAAAATGCTGGGACAGTCGAGGCTTGGAATCGTATGCCACTTATCGCGAGGTCGTATTTCAGTTGTTTTGTCTTTTACAAGAGCAAGAAGGAAAGGCTCACACTAACGTTCTTTATCGATTTCCCGAAGTTGTGCGCAAGCGCCGAGCTCACGTACACGTGGCTCGTGCGGTAGTTGCCTGCCATCCCCACCACTCCATTAGACGCTAAGGAAGTTCGTCGTCACTGTTGTCGATTTCGATGCACTCAATTATGCCAGATCTGGCCACACTGATCGGGAGTCCTAGTTTCAATAGTGGAGTTTTGTGTTCAGGATTATAATTAACGTTATTTTGCGATATAAAATTATACTAATATACAGTATTTTTTATTAATTATGTATAAGGAATATATGAATATCATAACTATAGTAAGTAGAAGTAATACAGAAGTATATTAATATTTATAAATGTGGTATATATTTTGTGGACTGTCGGAATAGTTTGGTGTTGTGATGCATTATATTTGAAATATTTACAGAGATTTCAAGAAAATAGAAGTGTGAAACAAGTTAAAACCATCTTTGAACCAAACTGAAGGATTTAAAAATTGATAAAGGTACGTATAAGTTAATAGAGACCTGAAATAGACAAAATTATTGGTACGAAGCCAAACAGGTTAAGTGCCCGTGGAAAAGAGGTTAGCATAATTAGCTATTGAAAGGAACAATTATGGAGTTAATTATAAAATCGTGTTAGAGGACAGTATGATAATTGTGAAAAATTTCCTCACCACCCTAGGGGTATTTACCGTGGCGCGTTACCTTTTTTTGTTATTATAATGGGTGGTTCGCCAATAGCCATATCATCCCATTTTCTAAAATAAAATTAATATTTTTAAATAGAACATAACAAAAACATAACTTTTGTATTCTTAAAGAAATAAAGTATTACATTTTGAAATAATAATAAATAATTTTGAATAATATTAATAACAAAACATATCAAAACATACTTTGAAATTCTCTTGAAATACAACTAATAAAACTTTGAATCTTGTGAAATAGTATTCATAATAAAAATATACTAAGCAAGTAAATAAAATGCTATTAATGTATTAAAACATATTGAAAGGAATAAGCTAAATATATATAAAAATTAATTTTTTAAGAAAGATGAAATTAAAAAAAATCATTGAAAATCTAGTTCCTATTAAAAGTTTTTAATTTACGATTTTTAGAAGTGATGTCTGTACGTGTTTCCAACTGACTATTATTTACAGTTTTCACATAATCGTTTAATAAAATATTTGAAAAAATTGATAATAATTTAAACGAAATACTTTGGTAAGCTCGACCACAAACGCATGTATCTGAAAATGCTAAATAATGTATGTCTGATTGAATGCTAATATATGTTAATTTACATAAAATATGTTTATGATTTCCAGATTGCAAAAATTGAGATTCTAAATTGCCATCATTTATTATGGCTTCCATTATTGCATACATATGAATAAATGAGGCTATCACTTCTTCAGTGGGGACAGAAAGGCCCCCTCTTTGTAAGTGATCAAAATATACATCGCCTACAGTTTTACCTTTATCCTCCACAACTAATAAACGACATATATTGCAATTTAATTTTTTAGCAACAGAATGGGACCCATAACCAGAAATATAAATTTTAATGGAATCATCTACAACACAATCGGACAAGTATTCGGTATCGAAGATTCCTGAAAAACAAGTCACATCAGTGGGAAGATCATAAAGATCGTTATTATTGTCATCACAAATTCGAAATTTATTTTTGATTTCAGTAAGAGAAAACGAATTTGCCGATTTTGTAAATATATGTTTTAATCTAATTTTTTTTTCTGCATGAATTATTTCGTTATATGACACATGATAATTACAACCAGATAAAAGTCTATAATTTCCAAATCGTTTTTCTAATTTTTCGGTTGTAAAATGGAGGGTACTACATTCCTTATAAGCCTTGGACATCTCAACAAAACATTCTCCAGTACACTATTGGGCGATAGAATACCGTGGTACCTTTCAATATCAGTTTCTGCAAAATGCAAACTACAGACGGCAGAATATTTTGATGGTGTCCAATTCTTACGAGGAATAGCAACCCTCAATTTCTCCCGCAATTCCTTATCTTTGGGGAATAAAAATATAGAATTGTAATTATTATCTTTTAAGGTACTATCATAATTTCCCTTGCAATTGGGAACACAGCAACGCCGTGGCATTATTAATGAATATGTGAAATTTATAAAAAAAATGTATATAAAACAAAATGTCCAAAAATGCTATAGATTATATTAAATAAGTGTGCTACACACCAAAATCAGGTTCTGTAGAGTTAATATAAATAAATGAAACACCTGGATTATTGCTCCGTTGCTCACATTTAATGGACTTCAGTACATTAATATTTGAAACATTTGAAAGATAGGCGGGAGACCGGAAGGCCGGTGGGTAGTGGGAGGCTGGGAGGCTGTTACGGTAGGTTGGGCTAGGTATATCGAAGTCGGACTCCCGCGGTGTTGCCATTTTACCTTCAGCACGGCTAGTACTTACTAGAGTCGGCTGTGCCATGAGCTATTTGAATTAACGAGATTAATATTTGTATATTTATTTAACAATAAAACTATATAAGGTTAATATTTGAGTATCTATAAAATGTTGAATTTACAAATTTCGGGTATAAAAACAGTTAGGTAACTTTCAATCTGACTTTCATTAAGTTGAAACTCATGAAAATCACCGACTACAGACAATAGTGAACAGTCTTTGCGTGAAATACACGGTCATCAAAGTATTATAGAGCTGAATCTACATACTATAAGAAATAAGAAAACGTTATATGAATATAAGTCTTAATTTTTAAGTTATTAATGATTAAAGAAAATGTTTGCCTTATGCGTTAACACACGCTTTTTTTTATAACAATAACATGTATCATTCTTCCACGAGAAAAAGGCACGGCGTGTTTACATCCCTACTCCTGTTGCAGTCCGTTGACTCACAGGCATTGGTCGAAAACGGTGACGAAAATCGGTGACAACCAATCAGCGGACTGCAGCAAGAGTGGGGATGTAAACACGCTGTGCCTTCTTCTCGTAGACGGACGGTAGTAATACTAAATACATACATGTAAATTGATATTACTTTACATTTATTAAGTATACTTAGAATTCAACTTATTTAACTTGTTCGACTTGTTGTTAAATACTTTCAAGATGAAATAAACTTTTTAGCTGCCGCTGTTAACATTACTCGACTCAGAGATGCCAGAAAAGCACCGCCGGGTGCACACGCACACATGCCAGATACGCGTACGTGAGCTCGTGGAGTTTCGGAAAGTCGACAAAGGCAAACTGACGCATGCCCTCTTTCTCGATTCTCCGAAGCTGCCCGAAGTAATTTCGGATCGCCTCGTGGGAGTCGAGAGAGAAAGGCTCACATTTGCCTTCTCGCTCTAAACAACTGAAATCCGACCTCCCGTCAACGGCATACGATTTGGATTCTCGAGCCGAGATTCTCGACTGCCCAGGCATTTTTACTTTCCGACCTATGTAGGCGCACATAAGCAAAGTACCCATAATGAAAAAAAAATTTTGTAAAATTTATTTTACGGAAATACACGTTTTAAGACCTCCTGATCATATTTTAATTATTGAAAAAAAAGAAATTTTTTTTATTCCCATGTATGAGCACACATATGTATATTATTAATACGATTTTTGAAAATCAAAATACTTTAAGATTGAAAATTAATAAATTAAAATGAGATTCCACTCTTTACCAGTATTGAGCACGCTGTGGTATTTTTCAATAAGAAGAGTACTTACTTTTATAACAAACAAAACAGTAGAATTAATAATTGCAGAAATTAATTAATAATGATTTTCCTCGATTGTTTTGAGATAACCGTATCAATTTGTTATGACGAACTAAATAGAACTAACTAGAAACAAAGGAAAAGTGATCCCGTTTGCCAGTTTAATACAAAGTATGGGTTGTATCTTAAATTTTAAAAGGACATAGTCGAATATTTTTAAAGGTACAAAACATAGCGTTTCATTGTAGAACAGTAACATAAGTTAGCAGGTATGTCATAAAACTGTTTTTCCCAGCTATATCCCTTTTTACCTGAAGTATAAGGTAAAAAGTACGAGCTACAAGGTACGACTATCCGAAAATCGTTCACATTTTATCAATGTAAATGAAGCGGTCTTTCCATCAGCGTTAAATACAAAATTTTGTTATTTCTGTGAAAACAAAACTTTCAGTAAATGTACGTGGTGTTTGAAATTTTTATGTTTTGACTGTTTTTGTGAAAAGTACCATCCAGATTCATGTACTTCGTACATTGAAAATAACATATGTTAAATGTAATCGGTTAAATTTAACTTTAAAAAAAAATATTCGATGGTCAGACAAAAATATAATGTCATATTTAGTGTACGATTAAAGTATGATTGAAAAAATAAAAAAAAAAGTTCAAGCAGGGTTCGAACCAGCAGAGCAGAAGAAGTTCGGAACTTGCAGGCAAAGACCTCGTCACTCACGCCACGCTGTTTAATGGTGAACATAGTTCTATTTCTGAAAATAAGTACCTGAAATAACTTTAATAATATCTCAAAGTAAAACCTAACCCAAAACCTGGTACCATTCCAACTTTTCCTTGTTAGAAATGAGTTTTCAATTTGTCTTAGCGAAAATCGCAATCACATTTTGCACATTATTCTAAAACATTTGTGGTATTCGTTTTCAATGCGATTTAAGTAAGCATGTAATGTATAAGATTTCATTTAATGTTTTCTTTTCTAGAGAAGATAGAGAAAAAGTTTATATAATTTTTTTTATATAAAATTTAATTCGTCCTAAGATTTATATGAAACATTTAAAAGATTTTTTATAAATTATGCCTATATATCGGAACAACTATGAAACAAGAGGTATAATCTGTAAGGAGTGTATGTGTGTGGCTAGGAGAACCGTTATCGTTTGCGTCGATAGGAGTGTTTAGTCTAAGCTAGAGTAGGTATCGAGTGAGGTGTTTAGGTTTAAGCTGAAATACGTTTTAGAGACTGCGTCTCGAACGTGCGTTTTGTTTAGATCATTATTATAAGATAGGAATAAGGAAGGGTCGACTTTGACTGCAGGAACGTCACTCTGTATCGAACGTTAGTCGAGAGCAATCACAGTTTTACGTTTACGTTTTATGTCTTTCTTTTATGTTCTTTATGTTAAATAGTTAGTAAATATTAAATAATATAATTACATCGTTACGTTTAGTGTTCACGTATTTGAATCCGTCCACACGCCTTTGAAATGAGAACATAAAACTTAAATGTAAAGTTTCATTTAAATTCATTCAGCTATTTATATTCAATCGTATTAATAATATACATATGTGTGCTCATACATGGGAATAAAAAAAATTTCTTTTTTTTCAATAATTAAAATATGATCAGGAGGTCTTAAAACGTGTATTTCCGTAAAATAAATTTTACAAAATTTTTTTTTTATTATGGGTACTTTGCTTATGTGCGCCTACATAGGTCGGAAAGTAAAAATGCCTGGGCAGTCGAGAATCTCGGCTCGAGAATCCAAATCGTATGCCGTTGACGGGAGGTCGGATTTCAGTTGTTTAGAGCGAGAAGGCAAATGTGAGCCTTTCTCTCTCGACTCCCACGAGGCGATCCGAAATTACTTCGGGCAGCTTCGGAGAATCGAGAAAGAGGGCATGCGTCAGTTTGCCTTTGTCGACTTTCCGAAACTCCACGAGCTCACGTACGCGTATCTGGCATGTGTGCTTGTGCACCCGGCGGTGCTTTTCTGGCATCTCTGCTCGACTATTTCAGTTACGTCAAGCAATGCTTGAAACTTAATCACATAACAATATCCCTATCGAAAGAAAATTACGATTCACTGATCGTTAATAACAATAATATACTATTTGTAGCATTTTTCATTTATTGCAAAATGTTATTCTGAGCAATTGACAGTGTTGTGGCTGGCATTTTTAACAGGGAACAGTAACTTTTTCATTGCAAATGTTGCAAGTATGTCAACACAAGAAAGAAAGAGCTAGAAGTAGCAGTAGACATTTCCAATATTTTGCACGATAGTTTTGGATTTCGTGCATCTTTATTAAAGCACACGTAAGTGTTGTACAATACTATATTGTAACTAACACCTACAAGTATAGAAAATAAATCTATTCCTTGTGAAGTGAATGTGATAGATACTTAATATTTCATACTACTTCTTGCACTTCCGACAGTCTACTTTTCTCCATTGTAATCATTATATTTCAATAAATTTCGCGAATTATTTTGCGTTTGACAATTTCTAGATTATATTATTTAAAGATTCACATTTTCTGATTGATTTCATTCTGTTCGTTTATAATTATTAATATTCATCGTTCGATATTCTATTTTTCGTTGCACATACAAATACTTGTGAAATACGTACTACATTTCGTACTTGTAATAATATTTAATTATTCTGTTTTCAGCAACATTCTTACTGTGATCAATTACTTCAAAAGAAACCAAACATGACGGAGGACATGTTAGGTGCAGATATTTGTAGGGTCTGTCGATCTGAAGGTTTAGTAGATAGACCCTTATTTCATCCATGCATTTGCACAGGCAGTATTAAATGGATACATCAAGAATGTCTAGTACAATGGATGCGTTATTCACGCAAAGAATATTGTGAACTTTGTGGATATCGTTTTTCATTTACTCCAATTTATAGCCCAGACATGCCACGCCGTTTACCAATGAAAGATGTTATCGATGGACTATTTTCTAGCATTGTAACAGCAGTCAAAAATTGGCTGCATTATACTTTGGTAGCAGTAGCATGGCTTTGTATTGTTCCATTAACTGCTTGTCGAACATATAGAGCTTTATTTAGTGGGTCTCTTGACCTAGTACGAGTGAGTATTTTTTATAATTTCAGAATATAGCTTAATTTCAAAGTTTTACAGCAAAATAAAAGGTACATTATATCTTTTTTACAGATAATGTCGTTACCAATGGATATACTATCTGCAGAAAATGTATCTTCTGATATATTTCACGGTTGCTTTGTAGTTACTTGCACACTCTTTGCATTTATTGGTTTGGTATGGTTAAGGGAACAAATTTTACATGCTGGTGGTCCTGATTGGCTTGAAAGAAACAATATACCAATGCCTCCTGTTGATAATCCAGTACATGTAGAAGTTCCTGCAATGCGACTTCATGAGCTAAGAGCATTTATTCAGCAGGGAATTCACAATAATAACAATGTTCCACCTTTTTTTGACGAACCACCTGTACCAGCAGAGAATCCAAATAATGATGATGCAGGAAATGCAGGACATAGAGCGGAAGAAAATAATTTATTGGATAATCAAAGACTAGACGAAGCTGAAGAGATTGGTAGAGATAATGAACCACAAATGGTCCCTAGAAATGGAGAGCAACAGATAGAACAACTTCCTAGAAATATGGAACCACTTGTAGCTCCCAGAGACGCGGAACCGTTAATACCCCCTAGAGACATGGAGGCAGCTATACCTCCTAGAGACATAGAACAACCAATACCTCCTAGAGATGAGCTTATAGTGGATGGTGAACAAGCAAATGCAAGAGCTGGTGAAGCTTGGAGGGATCAAGTACAAGGTCAAGCACAAGGAGAAGCTGAAGAAGCAAACTGGAATCCAATGGAATGGGATAGACCTGCAGAAGAATTAACTTGGGAACGTCTTCTAGGCTTAGACGGATCTCTTGTTTTTCTTGAACATGTATTCTGGGTTATTTCATTAAATACCCTATTTATTATGGTATCTGTTCCTTACTTTTAATTAAACAAAATTTAAATAATTAATTTTATCATATTTATATGATTTGAAATGTCATGCTTTCTGTTTCAGGTTTTTGCTTTCTGTCCATACCATATTGGTAGCTTTGCGATAGCAGGACTAGGATTACAAGAGTATGTAGCAGCATCGCATTTCGAGGGATTAGTAACTACGTTGTGCGGTTATTGCGTAATTGGAGTTTGTTTGGTAGTCCTTCATACACTTGTGGCTCTTTTAGGTTTCCAACGCTCTCAGCGTATATTAGGCTTGTGTTATGTTATTGTAAAAGTATCTTTACTCTCTGTCGTTGAAATAGGTGTACTTCCTTTGGTCTGTGGCTGGTGGTTAGATATTTGTTCATTAGCAATGTTTGATGCTACGCTTAGAGATAGAGAATCCTCATTCAGTTTAGCTCCTGGCACTTCAATGTTTATTCACTGGTTGGTTGGAATGGTTTATATATATTATTTTGCTTCGTTTATTTTGTTATTACGAGAACTGTTACGGCCAGGAGTACTTTGGTTTTTGAGAAATTTAAACGATCCCGATTTCTCTCCTATCCAAGAAATGATACATCTTCCAATTTTGAGACACGTAAGAAGATTAGTGGCATCTGCAGTTATATTTGGAACAGTTGTTTTATTAATGTTATGGTTGCCAGTGAAACTATTAAGATGGGCATGGCCAGGATTTTTACCATACACGGTGATGGTTCAAAGTGAAGCTCATGTAAGGAATTAAAATAATATTTCTTTTTTTGTAATAATATTATAATTATTATTTCATTTCTTACTCTGTTTTTAAATTAGGCCAGCGAATTGTCTTTGGAACTATTACTACTGCAAGTGATTCTTCCTGCATTATTGGAACAATCTCATACACGCACATGGTTGAAAGCTCTAATAAGAGGCTGGTGTCAAGTAGTGGCCTGGATGTTAGATCTTCAATCGTATCTCCTAAGAGATCAGACCGAGGATCCAGATCTAGCAGTAATCGAAGAACTTCAACACCCAGATTTAGGTGCTGCGCATCAGGCATTATTGCAAAGAGAAGGACCAACAGGTTTCCAGCCGTACGTTAGACCACGTTGGTTTCCTGCCCGACTAGTTTGTCTTTTGCTCTGCGTGTCTGTTTCATTTGTTATCGCTAGTTTAATTGCAATGACTCTCCCCGTTTGGCTTGGACGTAGAGTAATGGCATTGTGGATGGTTGGAGCTCCTGCTCCATCTCCGCCGGTATTACCACCTACGTTCAGTGGGTCGGGTAAGTTTACTTGCTTGTATACAATTTCTACGTTTTCTTTTCTTCTTATTTTGTTTGCAAACAAATTATGATTTTCTTTCACCTTTCAGAAACAAATGAGGCTGTAGTTGCTTTATCCGGACGAGTACACGAGGTGTATACGATAGCCTGTGGAACGTATGTATGTTGGGCCGCGGCAAGAGGGTTAGCGTTAGCATTTTCTTGGCTACCACGTGGACGAAGGGCGGTCTTAGATAGAGTAAAGCATTGGGCAATAATAGGCGTTAAAGCGTCAATTGCTTTTTTCCTACTTATAGGCCTAATACCGCTCTTGTTTGGTCTTCTTCTCGAATTAGTCGTTGTAGTACCTTTACGGGTACCACTAGTACAGAATCCTATTTTATTCATCTGGCAAGATTGGGCCCTCGGTGTATTATATACAAAAATAGCAACAGCTATTACGATGATGGGACCGGATTGGAGAATTCGCATGGCAATTGAACGAGCATACAACGATGGCATTAGGGAGATAAATTTGAAATTCATTGTTACAGAATTAGCAGCTCCGGTAATATGTTGCTTTGGTCTTGCTTTAGCTGTTCCCTATGCAGTGGCCTATGGAATAGTTCCATTTTTGATTACACGTATAGAAATACAAATTCTTATTGCCAGACGTTTGTATCCTTTCCTTGTGCTAGTGCATCTGCTGTACTTTGCTATTTATTTTCAAATTCGTCAATTCAAAAAACTTTACGAACATATAAAGAATGATAAATATCTTGTGGGACAAAGACTAGTGAATTATGAACATCGGAATAAATCTCAGTCACAAGGATCGGGTTAACGATGCTAATATAATTGTTTCTTAATGGTGATATCAAATTAATGAAAAATTCTTGAACGTACATTCATTATCGCGCTTAATAATAACAGATGCTAACATATATTGATTATGCTTTAATTTTTACTATAATAATTTACTAATATGAGCGATATTAAATAAATTAAAAAGATTGTCGCTCGATGTATCGATTTTCCGTTTGATACACTGCAGATTGCCAATATTTTTATTTGATTTGCAAAAACAAATTATTCCAAATTAACAATGAACATTTTGCGTGATAATGGACGAATATGATTTAGAAAACCTAGAACTCTACGTTATTTGTTCATTGACTATCAAATTAATCATTTTTTAAGTAGGTCATAAATTAAAATTTTCAACTTTAGAGATACAATGTATAAAGAAGCTTAATTAAACCCTAATCGACTCCTTAGGAAATAGATTTCCGGATAAGAACTATTGTGAAAGTAAAGTTACATTTTAATTGAAAACTTGTTAGTAACAGATTAACGTAATCATATTTTGTTGTACAAAATTAAAGTATAAAATTGATTAAAATGATATTAAAAAATATCTTTACTTTGATTATAATAAAGAAAGGTATATTTCCTTAAACCTTCCCATTATTTTTTGTTGTTAAAGTCATTAAATACTATTTACCATTGGATGTTAAATAACATTTTAGGTAGCAGCATATTAACACGAACATAGTTCATTTACTTTAAACAACAGATTTGTTATATACATGTATCTATATATATATAACATAGAATTGCAAATCTTCAAGATCATGTGAAATCATTTTTATATAAAAATACAATTATTAATAAATAATTGGAGTTAATTAGTCCATATATATCCAAAATATATATTTTGCGTATGGTATGCATAATTTTATGTACAAAGTTAGATATAAGTAAGAACTATTTATTTGTATACATACCAATCGTTCAGAGATTAACGAAATCACAATAATTGAAATGTAAAGACTTTTTGGGATGTACTTTAAAACATTATCAAAATAAAGAAAATCCTTGCGTAAAAATATATTTTTAATCTATTAGCTACTTTGACCATTCCTCAAAAATATAGTCATAAAATAAATCTAAATTGCATCTTGTTTAATAATTATATACTTGTACTTTCATGATTAGATATTTCAAGACAATCAGTTATGAAAATTGATGTACAAATATATATAAAAATATAAATATTCGCAAAGATTTTTTCAAAATAGAACTTACAATATAAATATGGTATTACTGTTATAATTTTATTTTTTGATTTGGTGGTAAAATAACACCCGTCAGTTTAAATAATTTAGGATGTTTATCAATCTTCAAAGGTAATACTGTAAAAATATTGATTACCTGAAAAATATTAAGCACGTTAATCTTTTAATTGTCTTAAATTTGTTGTTAAAATCTGTGTCTTTTGTGTTACCTGAGTAGTGGCAGGTTGTTTCCAAGTAATACTTATTGTCGGTAACGAACGTTTTGAAGAATATTCATAAGCTTCCAAAATTTCTGATTTGTTTAAGTAAACTCTTAATTTAATACCTACTTTACATAGTATAACGTCTATATACTGTTCTTTTACATCTAACACAATACCCATAGTAACAATCGAACCTTTCAAATATATTAAATATGCATAGCATAATTCACTACTTTGTTCTTGAGCCATTTCTGCATTGTATTTCTTTAAATTACAATTTGCCGCTATTCTATAATGACAGAAACAATAAAATTATTGAATAAAAAGTTTGAAGTATTGTTTCATTAAGCACCTATGTATTTCTTTTTCTATTTAATTAACATACTTCCTGCATAGTTTTTCTGACCATTCCTTAGGTAGTGCCTTATTGTTTATGATCGAATAAAGTAATCGATGTACTACGCAATCACAGTATCGTCTGATTGGAGAAGTAAAATGTGTATATAATGGTACATTTAAAACATAATGTTTCAATTCTTCTTTCGTTTTGGCGGTAGATGAGCATTTATAGATTGCGCACTAAAAATACACAATTTATTTGTCTTATACATTAATAAAATCTTGTATATAATAATAATAAGATAAAAATTCATACATGCATAGCTTTGGAACAAAGATTGTTGATAACCATCATTCTATATTTTCTCATTTTTAATTTAGTATCACTAGATTCAAATTCCAATTCTTGCTCATAACGTTTAATACTAGCATGTAAAGATGTAGCTGATTCAATATCTAAATTAATTCCAAATTTTTGTAGCATGACTTTAGTTTCACTGAGAATGTATTTTAAAGGTTCTCCATGATTACGTAGTAAAGCAGTTTTAGGAATTGTATTATACAAATGAACAGCAACTGTTATATTAGATAATAACATAACTCTTCTATGAGTCTAAAATATATATGTACATATATTAATTTAAATAATCAGTTTGAAGTATTGATTTGGTTTAGGAAATAATATTAATACCTATTACTATTTTTTTGTACTTCTATACGGTAAGATTTTGGTAAACCAGTAATTCTATCCAGTACAATATGCAATTTCGGTTGATCTATTCGTAATGCACCATTTTTAAACCTTTCATTGCGCATCTTAGTAGCTAAATCATGTAAAGTATTTACTTTTATTGATAAATCATTAGGACTAAAGTTCCCAGTTATATTTAAAAAGTAATCTGGCCAATTATTTCCAGGATTTCCAATCATTTCTTGAGCATGTTTATAAGTCATTTGACAACATGATTTTATTATAGTTTTAGCAAAACGAGATTTGACAATCTTTGCATCTGATGTAATTTCATAAATAATAGAAAAAGCCAACTTATCTTGACCAGGTAGTAAAGAACATATTTGACATAACTGTTTTGGTAACATATGATACACTCTGTCAGCCATATAAACAGTTGTTGCTCGTTTTGCAACTTCAATATCTAATGGAGATAAAAATTCTAAATAATGAGTAACATCAGATATATGTACTCCAATCTATAATAAAAAAATTGTATATGACATTTAAGAATATGATAAATTAATTATACAGAATGTTTCAAAATGATGAGATAAGCTAAAACTTTCAGCAAAAATTTAAATTTCTTATGCAAAGAAAAATTGAAAAGTTCTTGATCATTTTGCAATTTGAGACTTTATTTTCTAGACAGATCTAGAAAACCAAGCTTTAAATTGTAGAATGGTAATGGACTTTTTCATTTCATTTTGTAGAAAGAATTTGTATATTTTAATTTAGTCTATCGTTTTGAAACATGTTGTATATAAAAGACAATTCTCTGTACAATGATGAATTTACTTCATAATTTTTATTATTCAATAATTTGCAAGAAACTGCATCATCTAAATCTGTGGCATTATCAGGATCAATAGTAAACACACATTCATCTCTCCAATCTTCTCTGTCTTTTATGTCATTTTCTGTTAATACATAATTGTTATCTGGAAGACCTTTTATCACTTCTTGACTATAAGGCGTCACATCTAAATCACGTTCAAATAATAATGCATGCAACTCTGTAGATATATCACCCATAGTCCCAATTGTCTTTAAAATTTTTCTGGAATTATTACAACATACTAATGATCTTTAGTACTTCAAATTGTTTGGGTTTATTAGTTATTATCATACCCAACTGCAAGGTAAGGTTTTACCCAATTAGTTATAGTAGCTAAGAATAATTTGTTTTTATCTTATCTTCCAAATTTCTTTGGCAATGAATCTGGATATATTGTAAGTAATGGTACACGTTTATCTTTGGGATACAAAAATGTAGATGTGCCTTGTTGTTTTAAATATCCAATCGTTGATCTTGAATGTACTTTTTTTCGTATACAAACAACAACACCTGTTTTTTGCTTTTGTCCATCCAAATGTGTTTTCCACATTTCTGGAGGATTTATACGGACTACAACACGGTCCCTATCAAAAGCACGATTTCTATCTCTCAGACCACTGATCAATATATCACGTTGGTCATTAAATGGAGATAAATATGCACACTTGTAATAATTAGGATTAATGTGTAGATGTCCTTCTACATATTTTATATTTGTTGAATCTTGGTTGCACAAAAGTTTTTCAATTTGTTCGATAGAAATATGTTTTAGAAATGTTTCCTCTTTTCTTGAATATTTTGATGCATGTCGATTTTTTGTAATGGTACCTTTATGATTTAATTCTTTAGACATAATTTGAATTTTACACGTGCGATATGAAAGCGAGGATGCCGAGTGCAGTGTGGCCAGATCGGGCATAATTGAGTGCATCGAAATCGACAACAGTGACGACGAACTTCCTTAGCGTCTAACGGAATGGTGGGGATAGCAGGCATACGCTACCGCACGAGCCACGTGTACGTGAGCTCGGCACTTCGCACAACTTCGGCAAATCGATAAAGAACGCTAGTGTGAGCCTTTCCTTCTTGCTCTTGTAAAAGACAAAACAACTGAAATACGACCTCGCGATAAGCGGCATACGATTCCAAGCCTCGCCTGCCCCAGCATTTTTACTTTCCGACCTATATGTAAGGTATAAGGAAATTTATAAAGTATCATAATGAAAAAAAATTTTGAAATTTTTTTTTAGCGGAAATACACGTTTTAGGACCCCCTGATCATATTGTGACTATTGAAAAAAACGATATTTTTTTTTGTTCCTATGCTATTAACATGAATGCATTAAACGACTAAGTGAATTTCAATAACGAAAAAAATATTTCGAAATTTTTTTTAGCGGAAATACACGTTTTAGAACCCCCTCATCATATTGTGACTACTACAAAAAAACATATTTTTTTTTGTTCCTATGCTATTGACATGATTGCGTCTAAACGGCTGAATGAATTTCAATGAAACTTAACATTTAAGTTTTATGTTCTCGTTTTAAGGTCTCATTATATTTTAAGCGTGATCAGCTCCCATATAATGATGATTATACGTTTTTAGTTTTATAATTATTTCGATACATACACATCATTTGTAACAAATTTTTAAAGCGATTTATATAAATCTTATGAAGGATTAAGATCAAATATATTTTTCTCCTATCTTTCCTAGACAGGAAAAATTAAACGAAATCTTATGCCTTGCATACCTACCTAAACCACATAAAAAACGTATTCCACAAATATTTTAGAATAATGTTGTTCAAAGCAGTCTTACTCGTAAAGGGTTAATTAAGGGTTAATTAAAATGAAAAACCACTCTTAGCCAGTACCGTGCACGCTACAGAAATAAATTACTACTGACTTTTCTCACTATGTTTTTTAATAACCGTATCAAATTGTTACACACAATCAAATGTTATATATTTGACTTAACTTTACATAACAAAATAATTGTAACGATAGGTAAAACAATAACGTGCACGCTACCGTTCAATGGAAACCACGGGAAGGTGGTGGTCACTTCCATCAGGAGGGAAATGTAAAAAATTGTTATTTCTTTGTAACATTATCACATGGCATATATTAGAACGTCTATATTCTTCTTTCCTTTTTTTTTGATTCCCCTCTAAATTCATTTCTGCAAAATGAAATATATTAAATTGTCGTCTATATACTGCTATTCATTCAATAGAACTTTATTTCTAATTATTGCCTTTTAAAACCCTATGGGAACTGTGCTATATGTATATCTACGTCCTTTCTTCGTCCGGGCATTTCAACGGCCCATCGATGCGCGAGCAGTATAAACAAAACACTATCGCCACGTGCTCGAGCCACTGCTGTTTCTCTTGAGTCAGTTGAATTCGGTCGACGAGGACGAACATCAGGACAAATTTAAAGGTACGTGCCGTAGGTCATTCTGAGATATTTAAATTGAAAAAAAGCTTTCGCGTAATTTCTGTAATTTTCTGTTCTTTCGCTTTTCTGCTTTTATATCATGGAAACGGTTGTGAAATCGAAGAATAAGTGTAAGCGCGGTTTTTTATCTTCATAGATAAATGATCATAGGTTTAAATCATGGATACGTGCAGTACCCCATGATAGAAGTCGTTTTTATTGTACTTTATGCAATAAGTCTTATTCTTGCGGTTCCTCAAACGTGTATAGACACGGAGAATCTGGGTGTCATAAAAAAATAGTACTTCTAAAAGGACTTTTATGCCTCAATGGCTTGAGAATGATTATTTCAAGCCATGGTTGCATAAAGTCGACGGCGACCCGTTATTCGTGGTTCTGTTCGGTTTGCAACAATCAATTTTCATGTCGATTATCGACGATTTATAATCACGCCGATTCTCAGTGTCACATTGAGAATTATAAAAAGAGTAACAATAACGCAGACAAATTGAATAATAATTTTACGACGCAATCCGAAGAATCGCCTCTGTCGTTGGATGAAAGGATAAAATCCGCGGAAATCAAATTTGCCAAATTAATAGCCGAAAAAATATTCCGTATCGAACCGCAGAGACGATTCTTGAAGTTTTCAAAGACATTGGGCAAGATCCTGATGTCTTGAAACATATGTCGTTCGGTCGAACAAAGTGTTCAAATATTATATCAAACGTTTTGTATCCTTTAGAAACAAAACGTATTTCTAGTGTTTTACAAAACACTAAATTTTCTATTTATATTGACGAAACATCCGACTCGACCAACGAGAAATGGACGACGTTTCTTGTTCGTTATGTTGCACCCGAGACTTTGGATGTTCGAACGGAATTGGTAGAATTATTACATCTTGATGCCAGAAATTGTGGCGCAGATAATTTATTTAAAACATTTGAAATTGCCATGATAGAAAGAGAAATTCCGTTCGAAAATATTGTCGCGTTGTCATGTGACAACGCTGCTGTCATGACAGGGCGACACTCGTCCTTTATGACAAAGCTTGCAACAAAATGCAGGGACAAATTTTTGACTGTCCGCTGTCCGTGTCATCTGTCTGCAATGGTAGTGCGCGAAGCGTGCAATACCATTCCAGACATATGCGAGGAGTTGTTACGAAAAGTAGCAACTTTCATATACAGTAGTCCCAAACGTTCGGCTATATTCCGCGAATTTCAGCAATGTTTTCAAACAACCGACCGAAAAATTTTAAAATTGTGTTCTACGCGATGGTTATCGCATTATACATCCGTAGTTACACTTTTAGAGAATTGGGACTCTGTATTGCTTTTTTTGCAAGAATTGACAATAAGCGAGAAATCAGAGTCCGGGGAACGTCTGTTAATCTCGATGCAAAATCCAGAGGCCAAAGCATATCTTTATTTTCTAAATTACGCTCTTGAGTTTTTTTATAAATTTAGCATTTTCTTTCAAACTCAAGAGACAAGAATTCATTTGTTTCAAAAGACTGCGGCAGAACTTTTATGCGATATATTACGCAATTTTCTGAAACCGCAGCTTTTGAAACACATGGATTTAGTAAGAATGATGAATTTTTCTGTAGTCGAAAATCAACTTCCATTTGATAGTATAAATTTAGGAACAGAGTGTCTTAATTTTCTGCATCAACTGAATGCAGAAGGCAAGTCCGACATCGTAGAAACCGTAAGGAAAAATTGTTTAATGTTTTATATTACAGCTGCAAATGAAATTCGTCATCGATTGCCAATCGATGACGAATTTCTTAGCATGTTGTATGTTTTTGAACCAACTTTTATATTAAATGATACAAATAGAGACATTTCCTTCAGAAATGTTCTCTTAATCGCTAAGAAATTCGGCGGTTTCGACGAAGGACTGCAAACAGAATGGTCAGTATTGCCTTTGGAATTTACAACGAAAGGTAGACAGACGCTTATCGAGATGAAATTCGATGGTTTCTGGAAAACAATTTTATTAACGCGAAATTTGGACTATAAAATTAAATTTCCTGAATTGATGAAATTAGTAAATACAATTAGATCACTTCCAAATTCCAATGCCGATGCAGAAAGATTGTTTTCCATGTTACCTGACATAAAAACAAAGAAACGAAATAAACTTTCTTCGGCCAGCGTCAACTCTATTTGCGTTGTGAAATCTTCGTTAAAGGCGCAGAGGGAAAACTCTCAACCCATGGAGGTAGATGACGATCATCTAGCTCTATTGTATTCCAAAATTTATATCATAGATTTGCTAAGAAGCAAAAGTGTAATTTAAGATTAACGCAACATATGACAATAACTTTGAGAATTTTCCCGCTACGTCATATGACGAAAATTAAGGTACCGATTTACTACAGAGCTTTTCTCTAGAGAGATTTTTCTCTCCAGAGAAAAGCTCTTTAGTAAATTC